GTGGAATGCTTCCTATCCGACACAGCTGAACGGAGAAGCGTGGTTCGGGGCTTCACGGCAAGTTATTGCTGGCTTGTGCTCATTTGGAGTTTCTATCACCACTATTTTTTTTTTTTTTAAATCAAAACAGGAAAGAAAAGAAAACCCACGCTACAGTTGCAGTGTAAAGTTTTAAATCAGACTTGAGCATGATAACCCTTTTATGCCCTTTCCATGCAGACTTTTTATGACAGCTGATTTTCTCCCCCTGGCTGCCATCCTAGCTAGACCATTTTACAGGTTAGAGGCGCTGCTGGCTGAACCTGTTTGTGGGGAATATATGCCTTTCAGATGATCTGGAAAACCAGTCCTCCTGTTACTGCTTCACCTAAGAGGGATAAGGGGGAAAAGGTGGCACCACCTTCCCCGTGTGTGCTCTTAGAAGCTGAACACAGAACAATTTTTAGGATGAAGCAAAGTGAGCAGGAGGAGAAAAACAAGCCAAAAAAAAAAAAAGACCAACCCAACAGTGGAGGAAGCTAAGGGAGACGGTGGAGGCTCAGATCTGGGGTATTTAGGCAGGTATCGGATGGTTGTTCAGAAAGAGGATGTGCCAGGCCACCCTGGCACATGGACCCCAGCAGCAGGGAGATGATCGCAGCCACTACAGGGAAAATTTTCCTCTTATCCAGCATCCTGTACTTCTAGTCTTAGGATCACCAAGTAAGAGTTGCAATCTCAAGCCATTGTGAATTATCACTCAAAATACAATCTTGGGTTTTTTCAACAGAAGTCTGTCAGCTTGTAGTACTGCCAACCCATTGATTTCCCAGAAGCCTTGAATGTTTTTTATCACCGTTTTGAAAATATTAATGAGCTATTTTATGTCATCTCGTTGTTGGCTTTTGCTTTTATAAATTATTTCTTGTAACAAACTTACATATGGCAGACCATTATATCGATAATAGCACAGTCTGTTGACAATAGCACTCTCAACTCTCTTGAATTTTCAAGGTAAATCACATATTATACACATTTTCAAAGGAATGTTGACCTCAGTGCTCAAGTGGTTCACATTCCAGTTTCTCATAGTCTACATGTCAGGTTTCTTTTCAAAACCTTTTTTAAATAAGCAAGCAAAAAATTAAGATAACTATAGGAATTCATCTTGAACACTTATCTTTATTTAGATTGGCCTTTATGCTTTAATTGAATAAGCAGATGCCAAGGGAATGTTATGTGCGTTCCTCTCTTGTGAACCAAGCAGGATTCAAGGAAAAGTCTCTTTTAAGAGATGCGCATCTTTCACCCATTTTGCCTTCAATGTATTTGCTTCCCAAGTACAGTAAAAAATATCCTACTGCTCTCTTGTAGCTTGTCAGTGTGTGCGACTTACCTTTAGAGGGCACCATTTTGTTGGCACTGAAGTTTTCCAGGCTTCTCAGAGCTTCATTAGCGAAAGTGAAGGATGAAAGCCTCTGTGCCCACCGTCAGAAAAAAAAAAGAAAGATTTGCATTTGTGCACTCGACAGAACTGGTGTTGAATGAAGTCTACTTATGAGAGGAAATCTGTTACCGTAAGTAAAAATAAAAAACTCGGGAGATGCCCCTCCATACTGCTGTTGACCAAGAATTTATGTTTATTTACCTTGGAAGATGCCTTTTTCAATACCTAATGTTAAACAGGTTATTGTTAAGAATAATTAGTATCAACTATTCTTTAGCTTGATCACAGGAAAAAGAAAAATCTTCTGAGTTGATAATAAAACAAATGCTTATATTGTGAAACATTCCTTATCACTGTGTAATCTGTCATCAAGAAAAATTGATCTTGCGGTATTTTCCAAAATTATTAATTTAGCTTTAAGTAGCTAAAAATAGTAGTAAAAAGCTTTAAGCTTTTAACTTACTCGAGCAGTGGGGCTTTCACCATTTTCTATGAAAGAGGAGCCTGTTACACAATCGCTCATCTGCAACTATCTCAGCATTCAGTAAGAGAGAACGTGCTTAGCCTGAGCAAGCCCACCAACTTTGGGAAAGAGAAAGGAGAGCATAATTCACGTGGAGATGTGTAAGTAGCATGAACCACCCTGCAGATGGTGTTCACACCGTAAACACTGTTGAGATTTGTGGAGCAGGTCCTACACAAATCCTTTATTTCTGAGACATTACTAAAGTATATGAACATTGCAGCAGGGATGACACCTATCTGAGCACCTTAACAGCGGTGAAGGCAACAGGGGGACAAATTTCTTGATCTTTCTACAGTCCTGCAGTAACAAGGCTTCTGAGCTGTACTCAGCTCCAGAATTATGGTGACTCTCAGGACCACAGTATAACAAGTTCATAGTTCCTGTAATTTCTTGCATTGCATTTTTTGTAGGGAGTGATTACAAATACATACCACAGGTTCAATCTGATATTTAAATGTTTCACTTGTTCACAAATCAAATCCCTTGCCTTAATGCACAAACAAGTATCCAATTAAAAAATTGCTGGATGCTATCAGTTTAATCTAGAATGTGGGGAGAATGTTTACAGAGCTTAATATTTACATACTGTATTATTTACATTTCAAAACAAAATATTGTTTACTTTTTTTTGGTATTGCCAATAACATACCTATTCAGTTTTGTGATCTTAATTTTTGAATTTTCAGCTGGAATGATCCACATTTACCGAGTTGTGCTGCAAAAGCTGGAAACTGCACTTCAGGACCAAAGCACTTTGTCAGCTCGAGGGCCCTTTCGGAGTAAATCTTTAAGCTCTACAGTATAATGGGTAAACCGAAATGACAGACGTGAGCATTCACTGTGCCTTTCCTGGAGCAATGGAGCAGTTCGACTCTTATGTAAGACTGCAGCATGCTGCCAGTCCCTTGTATCGGGCAGCATCTGAGGCAAGCACTTCATGTGACCCTTAGCCATCCCAAACAGACCAATATTAAGTGAGACATAAAATGTACACATGACATAACCATTTCTCCTGAGAGCTGCCCAGGACAAGAATTTCCTACTGACTGCTGCAGTAACAGACATTTAATTTTAACTTGCCACTAAAATAAAGCATTCTGTGGGTAGAAGGAAGCGAATGGGTGGGAATTGAGTATGGAGGTTATTCATGTCTCAACATGAATGTGGCAGAAAGATCAGCAATATTTTTTTGAGTTTGATTTACGTGGCCAAATTAGTCTGACAGCATCTGTTAAAAAGTGCCCCGAGACCCATTTCATGCCTGCTTTTACTCATAGAGCCAAAAGGAAAACTGCAAATGTCATGAAATGCTTTTTAATTACACCTTCGCTGCCCAGTAAAACACTTAATTTTAGAAGTGTCCCAAAAACAATAGTGTAATTTTCATTTACTTAGAAATGCACTGACCTGGCATTCTGACTTGGTCTGAAGGACAGAGCCAGAAAAGTAGAAAATGCAGTTTCAGCATTTAAAAACATGAGAGAAACAGCTGACTGTCAATTTTACCACATCAGGCATTATAGCTGAAACCCCTTGTGTGCCATACAGAAACTTAATGCTGTGCGGGATTGTAGCATGTTTTGATGTACTGAATTTGCCCGATAACAAGTCTGAGTCATCGGGTTTTTTTCTGGCCTACCTGCATCAGCCTGGGTTTTGTGGGGTTGCCAGGGCTCACAGAATTTCCTCAGGGCAGGAAGGAATCTCTGGTGGTCCTGTTGCCTGTCTTTCCTCTGAAATCCCACTGACCTAAATGGAGGCAGATTTTCACATGAAATTACACTCTGGGATTCTAGTTTATGTCATAAAGAGGTGGCGCTTGGATGTGGCTAAGTCTACAGTGGAATGTGTAGTCCTTGTTTGACATGAATATAATATTTTATTTTTAAGCATTCTGGATGCTGTGGTCTATCTTTGTTTCCCCTGGAACATATAAACTGACTGAGACTAACCCAAAAATTTGGAGGATCATTCCAGGTTTGGGAATGGGAGGTAGAGATTCCCAGAGTAGCGTCCTCAGACCCCAAAACCACAGCCTGCAGCTTTTACCTGGTGTCGAATGAGCTGCTGGACATCTTTTGCTGTGCACTGCGCACCCTCGGATTGTGCTTTATGGAACAGCCCTCTTCCTGGGAAGAGCATGCTATGTGATAATTGTTGTCAGGAAAGATGCGAGGCTGCTTATTTGAAAATTTACACTGAAATGATACTCTGGCTATGCTGTACATTGTGTTTCTACAAATGGAAGGACATGCAGTTTTTAACCATGGCCACACAAGGTGAGGTGGTTCAGGGCAGCGATCAAGTGAGGGACCTGCCAAGGGATTGTAAGAAAGATTTTTTTTTTTTTAATCTCAGCAGTTTGCAGTTGCCAATATTTTCACTTCCGAGGAGTGTCCTTTCTTTAGCTGACTGCTTGCCCTAGCCATCCGAGTTAAAAATTGCTCACAAATCAAAAATTTTTAAAATATTAGAAGCCATTTTAACATATTTATTTGAAAAAGGGGCAGACTGTTGAGTGAGGAGGGCAGAAATCACTTAAAATCTCCCTATTCTTTTTATGATCATGGTGGTTATCTGTGCATTAGATACTTGAACTTCTTTGTCATACCCCGGCAGAATGAGGACAGACCACCTAAGGAAGCCTGGATGGCATAAATAATGATATTGTGATATGTTTTGAGTCCCTGGCATGACACGCTAAAGCAAAGAGAACCGTTTTGTTCCTGTACCCTGCAGGCTTGCTCCACGGGAGGCAGTTTGGGGTGGAAGAAGGGTGAATACTGGCAGGCCACATTATTGCTCAGGCTCTTCTCGTGATTCCCCTGCGACACCTGGTAGGTAACCACGGGGATTTTGCTGCCAGGACACCTGAAGGTTGTTGGAGGTTTTACGTTCTGCCCGTGCCCCAGAAAGGTTTGCCTGTTGGCAGCTGGGACGCTGCGGCCTGGTGCAGGGGTTTACCCCAGGATGGTGGTTGGTGGGAGGCCGTGCCCCGCTCGCTGTTCTCTTTGGGTCACCCTGGGCTGAGGGAAACGCTTCTGGGGAGCGCTGTGGTGCCCCGGGGCAGAGGCCGCTGCAGAGCGGGTGTCCCGGGACGGATGCCTGGCGAGATGGGGGGTTTTGGAGGGAGGGGTGGGACGCCCGATTCAAGGGAAGACGAGGGCGTCTGAGGGGAGAGGTCAGAGGGTCTTTAGGGGCACACCCGGGGGCATCCGAGGGGGAAGAGCTGAGCCCGGGGCCAGGCGGCCGCCGGCCGTGAGGGGAGGTCCGCTGCGGGGCGGCGCGGCCCGCGGG